TGTTGGTGTTAGCATTTAGCTCAAAGCACTGCTGTGTCTAGCCTACAACCTCTCTGAACTGCTAGTGTGGATTGTATAATGCAAATACAGGAGGGGAGTCATATCTGTGCATTCATGACCCATGTTTTCAAAAACATTCCTCTGGGACTTTTTATATACTTAATATTGTTTTTTTTAAGGTTTATCTGTAACCATGTTTATCTCTCCACTTGTTGCACGACTGAAAGGTGTGGTAGGTGCAGATGTTTGTACGCAGCGTGTGTCCTCTTTTGTTCATGCCAGCTTACAGGATTTGAAAATGAATACACTGTATGGTTAAACTTCAGAAAACAAGGGTACTAAGATACTCTGATGGTTTTATGGATTAACAGTTGGTGATTTAACTCTATGTGTATATTTGACCAGTGTGAACTGTTAGCTCCTTCCTCTCTCTCCTTCTCTTCCTCTCAGTAGTGGCAGAGCCTCATGGCTTTGAACAATCAGGCAGAGAAAAACATCAACGTCACAGAGGAATGTTTTTTGTGTTGAGGGGCGACACCAAGTGCAGTTTGCAAGATGGGTGCAGTGTGACAAAGACGCTCTCAGTACGGGATATGTCAGACTTCATCTGTCCAGAGTCAGGACTGACGACTCAGGCCAGTACCTCTGCAAGATGACCACTAGATTCTGCAAGGTTGGTTAAAGAGATCTCACTAAACATTGGTAAGTCGACTCAAGGTTGTCACAATTTTCATAATGTTTGTTGCCATCAGACTCTAAAATATTTGAACACATTTTTTCAGCTGCAAAAATGTAGGGTCAAAGTTAATTCATAATAAAATACTTTTGAGTACCTTAAAATGTCTGCGTGCTACAAACATCCAGCTTTATACTGGCTCTGAGGGTTTGTCATTCACCATGGCGACTACTACAAACTGAATATTGACAAGAGATTGAAGTTTGATGAGTTTAGAGAAAGAAGAAATCTGGATTCACCTACATCACAGATTGTGTTTAGGTCCTGTTTGTTGGTTACTTCCTGAATTTCCCTGCATGTCAATGCTCTCAGTCCAAAGCCGTTTGTTTCTGCTGAAGATGTAAATCTTCAAAAATGGGTCATAAATATTTTTGTTTATTTTTCAGCTCAATATTTTTCTAAAATGGTAAATGCTCTGTTCTTGTATATTGATTTTCTAGTCTTCCCACCTTTCTGGAGCTTTATACTACATCACATTCACCCCATTGACACACATTCACACAATGAGCAGCGGCTAAGGGAAATTAACAGAAATTAACACATTAACACAAATTCACTGGCAATTTGGGGTTCAGCATCTTGCCCAAGCATCTTGCCCAAGAACACTTCAACGTGCATACTGATTAGTGGACGACCGCTCTACCCTACCTGAGCCACAGCTGCAAAGTTTTTAGCCAACGTTATTCAGGAGGAAACACCAAAAGAGTAATGACATTTACTGTTGGTACAAAGAGTACAGAGTATTAGTATGAGTTCTGTTAAAGTATCAGCGAGGTCTGATAACCTGGTCTCTTTATTATACAGATAATTTCAAAAAATGTTCAGAGTGTACTGCAGTGGTGGAAGAAGTACTTTTACTTACGTAAAACTCATAACCCCAAAGTCGAGAAAACTCTGTTAAATATATCTGTGACACTTTTTTCTTGTTTATTCATCAATGGATCAAATGTTGAAACTTTTTCTTATGACGCTTATTTGTTATTTGTTCAACAAGGGTTGAAAGGGTTGATGATTGCTATGTCTTGAAGCTAAATCAGTAAATATATGAATTGTCCAAGTTGAATGAATTTTCTTTTTAAATAATGTATTTTCATTTTTGTCAGAAAATTACTTTTTTTTTTTCATTTTCCACAATATGATTTTTGCAAGAAAAAAAAAAAATTATGTAACCAGTCAAGTTTGTAACTGGAGTGTTAATGAAGTTTAATATAATTGATTGATAATTGATAAACTGTTTTAGTGCTTCTGTCTCACACACAGAAATGTCACAACAACTTCTCTCACAAAAATAAGGATTTATTTACATTATGTACACATTATAACCAGAACATTATGAAAGGCAGTGCATTGTAACAACATCCATCAGCAGACACAAGACTAATGACTGATATCAGCTGGTGGGAGAACACAGTGATCAATGACTGAACCAACTAAACGGCTAAATCTCAATGATGCCTCAGTTCTGACTGACTGAAGAAGTCCTTCGGATGAGGGACGAAACGTCTTCCAGTATCTTCAACCAAGTCCAGTTGCCCTTGATTTTAACCTTCGTTGGATATTAGATAAGGTGAAATAAATGCGCTTAAATACACATCAAAGAAATAAACAATGGCTAAACAAACATGAGGCAAACAATGAGAATGTTGAGTTCTATTGTGGGAAGAATTTGATTCATAGGGAGAAAGAGAACTAATGAAAGCAATTAGATAATATTAGCTTGGTTAAATTTGTCTAGGAGTTTTAAGGATCAAAGCTAATGGATTAACAGACTATTGGTCATCATGCCTTGTCACTGGTTTTAATGTCTATTTTAAAAGTCTATTGGTGCGTATTTTAATCAAATATCTTCCCACAATCAAACCTTTAATGTCAAACGGTTATACCGTTCTTGTTTTTAAGCATTTGATAAAAGGGAAACTATTAAGTTACTGTCAATAGTTAAACATTAAGTTTAGCATTTCATAGAAATCACATCAGATGAAAGGAACTCAACTAGCTTCCTGGATAATATTGGCTGTTACACATTCTTACTTGGAGAATATAAGCAAGTTATATGAACATGGCATTAGATTACGAACGGATAAATACAGAGTGACAATTATACATCATAAACAGCATTTCAGAACGATGGCATGTAATACTTATTTTGTCCTCTTGGGGGAACTCTGATTCCATGAAGAGACTGAAGATAGCAAATGATTATTTCTTTAAACAATCATTTGCTCAGGAGCTGGGGAAATTAATTATTTAACACAGGATACATTTCGGTTATATATAATTTAGTATAAGAAGTTAGAAGGAGCTGGAAATAAAGCATTAGTTAAAAACATCACTCAAATGTCCAACGAAGGTTAAAATCAAGGGCAACTGGACTTGGTTGAAGATACTGGAAGATGTTTCGTCCCTCACCCATGGTCGTTCCGTCTTGGCCACAGGTAGTCTTAACGACTGTAACGACTTTCGTCACAGCAACAAGGAACACTAACGAACCAGCAGTATCGATGACCCGGGTCAACGACCCCACTGAGGTTAAATAGCTGAGTTTCCCTGCCAGTCAGTCAGAACTGAAGAAGTCCTTTGGATGAGGGACGAAACGTCCAGTTGCCCTTGATTTTAACCTTCGTTGGTTAACTATGACCTGGATGACTGAGAATCTTCATAGACATATCACTTAAATGTGAATATCAGGAATCATTGCTCCAAATTAAAACACTGCAAAATTAACTTATATGGATTCTTCTTTTCAGTAGCAACAACACAGTAATATAGCTACTCTAATGGAGTGGAGAGAACCGTTTAGTAACTTTACAAAGATTATTTAATTAAACAAGGTAATGCAAGTTTTGAGGAGACAGTATTTCTTTGTCCACACAAAGGAATGTGGACTGTGACCTTTCTCCAGCTGGAGTTTCTCACCAATTCACATCTGGGTTTGAAGAGGAGAATATCCTTTGATGTGAGGTCATTAAACAAAGAGGAAGGACAGTTGCCATGGTTACGTGTGTGGAGGGGCAGTTTAGGGTCTCCTGCCCTCCCTCCTAAAAGAGTTCTGATAGGCTGTTCAGGAGAAAGTTAATTTCTGGTTAGTGTTAGCATTTGTCATTTTAACAGTCAGGCACCGAGTCTTATCTCGGCTGCACCAAAGGTTGCAAGTTTTATGATCGAACTGTCCAAAACCGCACTTAGGGAAAGCAAACCCTTTGGGGTCGCTTCAGCTGACTGTTGAGGATTGATATCTCAGCACCCCTCCTCTTTCCCTCAGGGAGAGACAAAGAATTTGGGATCTCCAAATATATTTGATATAAAATGAACAAATCCACACTGGCTGATCCACTACATTGTTTACATTAAGGTTGCCGGTTCTAATAAATAATATAGTGCATGTTTTCTTGGTAATGTAAGTTTTTTTTTTAGTTCATTCATTAAATGCTGTAAAAACATTTGTTAGTGAAACTTTTCTGTGTCTTATTCTGGGATTTAAAAAGCTTGGCTATCACAGTTAAAACACTTTTAATGGCATTGTTTTAATTTACAATATATCCAATAAATATTCAAAATAAATGTATACTTTTTTTTCTAAGTAAAACTCACTCACTGTGACCAATAAGAACAAATTTACACGCATCACAAATAATGCCTCCAAAATATTTGGTCTCCCCACCTCCAACCTCTCTGACCTCAATAGGAAAGCCATCCTCTCAACACATTTTTCATTCTGCTGCCATCAGGACGTAGATATAGCTCCCTGGCCTGGAAACAGGCTCGCTATAGCAGGAGTTTTATCTCGTCTGCCATAACACTACTCAACAAGAGTACTTGCTAAGTAAAAGGTATGTTTTGGTTTTGGAGTCAATTTGTGTATAAAGTGCACGTTGTTCTGTATGTTCTTGTTGTGTAGATGTGAGGTAATGTGTGTAGATGGTTGAAACAAATTTCCTGGAAAGGACAATAAAGACTTTAATCTAATCTAAAATTTTGCATAGAAGATGTTTTTCAGTGAACTGGCCGCTTCTCTACTTGATGATTTGACTAAACAGCTGAATAATAATTTTGTCTTCTCCTCCTGCAGTTTGAGCAGGTCATTATTTGGAGATTTTATTTCATCAAATACGTCTGTTAGCTGTCAGAAGACGTTCGTTGGTCAGTTTGATCACTTCTCACATGAACGACCTCTAAAACATCTATTATTGATCTATTATTGATGTTTTGCAGAATCTGTGATGTGTTTGTTTGCAGTCTGAAGGACACAAAGAACAGACGCTGCCTGATTACCTGCTGGACTTTATTTTAGATCAAGTCAACTGAGAAATTTATATCTTCATAAAAAATACAGAGCTTATACTGGTTTAGACAAATTCACCACGTCAATGAAAACATTCAGATGTCATGTTGAAAATACATTGAAAAAGTCCCTGAAAACGTCTGTTTACAGAAAAACACTTATAAAGTTTATACAGTCTGTTACACATCTGTAAAACACAGTCCCTCCATGCTCTTACAGTCAAATTACATAAAAATAGCAAGGGATATTTTCACACAGTGGAAAACAGTAGTCAAACTTTATGTTTACAAACAGGTTAGAAAATGCTTCATAGATTAGAAAGTGCTTTGCAGAAAAATAAAACTTTCTGTCTGCTTCTAAAGAAGCATGTTTAATGTGTTTATGCTGGATTCATTGTTTCCATCTCATGTCTATTATTGATGTTTCAGTTTAGTTATTGTTGGGCCACTTCAAAGAGTCAAAAGTGCTTTGCAGAAGGATGAAATACTTTTGTATAAAAGCAGAAATAACAAAAATACACACAAAAAGCAAATTAATACTTGAATGATGCTTAAAATCTATCTGAAATGTAACCATTATTAATTATTGTAAAACATCTTTTCTGACAGCACATAAACGTCAGATTAAAACAGGATGACTCAAAGTCCTAACGTCACATGTTGGATGTTTGTCTTCTCCTCCAGGCTGCTGCTGGTTTCATTTTTTTTCAGTTTGCAGTGAAATCAACACGCAGAGACTTAAACATGCTGCACACTCTGTGAGTCTTTGTTCACGTTAGTTCCTGTTGGTAAACGCTGCTGTGGATTAGTTTAGAGCCTGAACTGTTCTCAGAAGACCTTGTTGGTGAAGTCAGGTTTCAGTCTCTGTCAGACTGACTTGTGGTCAGGCCTGGATCAAGGTGCATGCTGGGTAAATAGTTTATGCTTAATGCTCCACTCAGATCTCTCTTCATTTATTTAACCAGGAGAGTCCCATTGAGATTAAGAACCTCTTTCATAACGGTGACCTGGCCAAGACAGGCGTTTTGTCCTGTTTCTGTACGGGTATTTGGCACAAAGAGCATAAAGAAGTCCTGAGAACCCAAAGAGTTTCACGTGTTACTTTTCTGCATTATAAGTACACACAGGTGTCTCGGCAGCAGACCAAGAATTGCCTTATTTATGAAGGTGTACCAGTGACAGAGCCCAGGTGGCCAGAGGAGGCCATCCTACCCAGAGTACAACTCTTCACAGCTATAATCTGTCCAAGTCTGTATTTCTAAAGAGCCTCAGCTGGAGCTCCTCTCATGTCTCTTACTGGTGTTTCAGTTTAGTTATTGCTGAGTCGTGATGCAGTGGAAACATTTCAGACATGATGCTCACTGTGATGGACGGTCTGACTCAAGTTTCGAGGGGCAACACACTCACATAGAAATGACCGTTACTGTATGACTCAATAAAATATTTACAAATACACACCACTACAGTAAAGTGAGAATAATGATCAGCACTCAAGTCTGTGTGATTAGTAACTTGGCTAAAAGTAGAGCACACAGATGCTTCAGTGAGAATCAACCTGCAGAAACTTTTACCATGAAGAAGAACTGACAGGAACTTTATATTCATCACATTGCTTCCTTCAGACATCTTGGACCAGACTGACTTGTGGTCTGGATCCGTTCACACTGGAGCAGCAGTTGTGGTTGTGGATGTAACTTGGTTTTGATCTTTCTGATAAGCTCAGCGAGGGAACGTCTATCCTGGTCTTGACCTGTGAGACTGACATGAGACAAAATTAAGTGCAAACAACGACTCAGACAATCATAAGAGGAAATAGATCGATTTTAAAAACAGAAGCGCAAACTTACTTTCTTTTAACTCGATGAATGAGTGTAGCTACACATCTTTCAGCTGCAGCGACTAGAGCTATTACAGCAGCAATTAACAGAAGTCCACCAGCTACAGCTTCTTGAGTAGTTTATCGTTCTTCCAGTCATATGATGTGTCTTCTTCCTCCTCCGGCCCTCCTGGTGTTTCTTTTACAGCTGCATGCAGATAGAAAACCAGTGTTTGTGTCTGATATCAGGAGCATCAACTCAGCAGTGTTGGACCACCGCATCAACAACATTTATACCAATTTAGAGACAATGAGAAACTAAATAAACAATCAGATGATTTAACAGCAACCAGTCACCTAACAGAAGTTACACCTCTTGGCCAGATGGTGACACTGTAGAGAAAATTTACCAAAAACCTGCTGAACAGTCTGACTATAAGCTGCTTCTGCTTCCTTAGTTTTTCACTGTGTGTCTCAAATTTCAACTAACTGTCTGTTTGTCCTTCATGTTGATACAGTGTTAAAATCAGTTTGCAGAGATTTGGAAATTGCTTGTTATCTTGTTATAGTGAATTAATCTCAGTAAATATGCTGAGTGTTTGTCAACATGTTATTATCACAGTAACCAGGTGGTGCAGTGGTTTATGTTGCACATTTTGAAGTAGCTACTAAAACAATGTTTTTCCTTTATATCAGATTTGTGCAACCTTTATGAGGCAACAGTTGGCCTGTGATGCACTATTTCTACATGGTAACCATGGTAACAGCTCACTGACCCACCTTCAGGTGTGGTGAGGATCACGTCACTGTTCTCTCCATGAGAGG